ATTTTTTACACTTGGCCAGTTTTCAAGCCCCGGCGGCTTTTATTTGGGGGGGGGGGGGTTTAATTAACACCATGAAATCCACCAACAACATAACACGTGTTTTGTAAACCTGTAACTTCATTGATCATTTCCACTGGAACGTTGATAGAATTTAATGTAACATCTTCACACTCACATTTTGTCTTACCATAAAGGAAGAATAATCGTAATATCCATCCGCTAATGTAAGTACATGCACCACTACCTGTTGTAGATTTAATATCTAAACAGAAACAATTAAACTAAAATTATTTGAAAAATGTAAAAAAAACTCATACCCATTACTTTATTCCACCAATCCAAATTCACTTTATTTTGATATGTTTGAATAAATTCATCTAACACGGGTAACAAATTATCAACATACTCATGAAATATTTGTTGCGAATATGCTTTCATTTGTTCTGTTTTCTCTCGTAACAATTTCCAATCATCTAATGTACCCATAAATTTGATATCTCTTATCCCGCATGCTGTCATACATCGATCATATTCAAAATAATCTTGTAATGTATCCATGATACATGTATTGGATAATATTGCTTCAACTTTACCTGTAGTCGAAAAATTGGATGTTAACGTAGAAACAATTGTACCTTTTATATTCTTTTCAATCTCTTGTTTAATCCTATCAAAAAAATCTGTCCAATCACATTCCTCTTTGCCGGGTGGTTCTCGAATAGTTAATTGTTTTTTCCCTTGATGATCAACAAATAAATGTCGAAGTTGCTCAGCATTTTCATTCACATGTAGCGCATAATTGATACAAATTACCATCCATATATCATCCGGAGATAAAATTAAATCTTCATGATTATTATAAGCAGTGACAAATGCTTGTAAAACTGAATTTGATGGAATATCTGTATATGGACCATTGGCAACTGTATATAGAACGTTACGAGGTCTTTGTGTTTCGCTATATGTAGTCATATATTTTCACATCCATATTTCACCTATAGAATCATCTGATAATGGGTTAACATTTTGATGACGATAACGATTTTTTAATGGTTCATGATTGTTAATTCTGATTGTTGTATACATGTTATCAGTCAAAAATCTAAAATAGGCATATAAATATCCACTCAATAATTATATATCTTACCAGCTAACTGTTCTATTATAAAATTTGTACTATTTATATTAAATCAAACTGTAACTTTTATTTACTTTTTGTTTGTTGCAGACTTCAAGTTTTGTTTTGTTTATATATCGTCTTTCTTTTTAAAGTCTAATATATTTTATGTCAAGAAATATATCTACGTAAATAATGTGATAAGTGATAATATCTCAGTCACAATAAAAGCGTTGTGCAATAACAGGTGGGCAATATAACAAAAACAAAAAACAAGCTGACTTTGTACTATAAGATGTAGTAGAGACGTATCTCTCTTTGCCGTTTTTCTTACAAAATGATATTTTACTTCGAGTAAATGGAAAGAAATTGACTAATCGAAAACTTTTCTGTAGAAAAATGTTTCAAATTATCCATCATTCGATGCAGTTTTTGATGCTGATACTAACATATCACATTAGTTTTAAATAAAAGTTTTTCTGAGCTAAGAAAAATATAGTTTACCTGGAAGACCAAGGGTTTTTGGAAAACTCTATTGCCGCTTAGAATCCGCTTAGAATGCCGCATCTTTGTGCTAACAGAGTAGACGTGTCATATATAGAAGAACATTCTGTGAAAGTTTGAGGCCAATTGAATGATATCTAACGATGGCGCAGCCACTTTACTGAAGAGACTGTTTCGGAAAACACTTAGCAAAAATAAAGCACTGAGATTTTCAGCAGAGAAGACCTGAAATTAAAACCTTTTCTTCAAATTGATAGAGCGAGAGTTTCTCTTTGAGAATATGCACAGTTTATTCCGAAACCCTTCTTCCTTTCTGAGACACAAGCTCTTTTTCGTAGAGATCGCTGAAATCTAGCGTAGTTTTGGAAATTGGTTTTCTCAACAACTATAATAGGTAGAACAAAAATTCTTTCGTTATTAAATTGGTCGTTAGTCATAGTTTCTAAGACACTAACAGATGACCCAGATAACACCAGCCGCTTTTGTTCGTTGTTTTTGAGGTATCATCCAGTAGTTCCAAGGGTTCTTTTTAAGGTCAATCGATAGAGAATTGAATTCTCTACAAAACCTGTAATTTTAATCTCTGACAGCGTTTTTCCCGTTTGAGCACCGTTCAATATTTCGAATGGTGCTGAGTTGTCGAAACGCGATACACTGAAAATAGAAAAATATTTGTCTTGATCCAAACGTAAATTTCATAAGAATTCTGAAAACATCAGAAGATTCACAAGAAAATTCTGCACATTCTCACGTATTTTTCGAAAGGAGGCCCATTAAGTGGCATTTTCGTCCTAAAGCATTTCGCTATAAATCATACATACTTGGAATGCGCATTAAATTCTGAACAAGATAGCGCTTTCAGAACTTTCAAATTTGAAAAAATATTTTTTGCCCAAAAAATCACGGCAAGGGTCTCAGGGATAAGCGAAAGTTTTTTTTGTCCAAAAATTTTGAAAAACACGTTGTCTGACTCAGCATTTGATGCTGATCACGAATATCGCAACCGCAGCTCGAAAAAATGCGGCCTGTCCAAATGACAACAGAAATAAAATTTGACTCAAAACCCGGATTTTTCGAGTTTTTGTCCCAAATTTTCGACAAAAGTGCTCTTTTGTTTGTCACAAGACTTTTCCTATGTGTAACTCGATATGCTGAATCCGAATATGCTAAAATTGAAAAACTTTGGCAAAATTTTTATCTAAAAACCGCTGAAAATCTGAAGGATTGGGGTTTTTTAAGGTTCTGAGCACCTAAAAAGCTTGGACCAAAAAGAACCTTTTACCGGAGATAGATGAAGACATGCTTTTTCCAACGATGTGCCATTCAAGGCAAAATTTGATGTAGAAAGTGGGGTTTCGAGTCTTGAAACCATTGTATGGAGTTTTTGAGGTTTTTCGGAAATTTCTCACTTTCCAGCCACGTTTTTGGATTAAAAACCTTTCTTTTAGCAAATATATCGCTGAATTCACTTCTTACAACAGTATATCTAGTAGAAAACGCACGTTTTCTTTCTTTTCTCATTTTTTTTGACATTTAATCTAAATCCTAGGGAGCGGCGAACGAACGAAGAAGCTGCTTTGTCTTTCGTTTATTTAAACAAAATGATAAAAAAAAATACTTGTAACTTCTCATGCAAGTTCGTAAAATGTCTTATCGTCGTCAGAATCTGTATGAGGGTAACTGTCGTCGGAGATATCTGAATACAGTCCGGCTTTCATCCGGAGGTTCGTCTCCAGACTCGAGTATTATCACTCTTCGAGCAAGTGCGCATCGCTCTCACGTTCGGTAGACCGGGAATGATCCTCTTCATTGACTTTGTGTCGGCCTTTGATCGGGTTTGACACGATGCCTTGCTAGTTAAACTGGCACGACATCGAGTCAATCCTCGTCTTTGGCTATGGGTCTATAGCTGGTTGAAGGAAGGTCTGTCTATATCTCATTAGGAAATTTACGATCCGCGTCACTTTTGTTGAACTCAAGGTTCAGTCCTTTCGCTGACTTTATTTATTATATTTATTTCTGATCTAGTCAGAGTTTTAGCTGCTCATTCGACTCACTTGTATGCAGTCGATCCCAGCGTATTTTTGTCCGTTCCGTTGGGTACACAGGACCACCATGCTATACGTATTTTGCGGAAGAGCGCACAACAGGCTCTTGATGCTGTACACAGGTATTGTAAAAAGGGGCTTGTCAAACTTAGTGTAAAGAAAACGGAGGTGCTCGTGATCAATACTAAACAGAAGAACTTCCCATTTGAACTGTTTTATAATAATCAAAAACTTTCTTTCATTAAATCATTCCGGTACCTTGGGTACTTAGTGACTACGAGACTTGGCTTTGCGAATCGATCATCTTTCCAATGTCGCTTCTTCTTTTCGAATTGTTTCTCATCTTTTTTGTCGATCTGGAATGTTATCAGTTGAACTTCGTCGTCGAGCTTCTTTTGTATTCGTCTACCGTTTTTTTTTATATGGTTAGCGCCACTTTTTTTCTACTTTACGGATGTACAACAACGAAAGCTCTGCGATTTGTATGCTTTCTATTTGCGACGCGTTTATGGTTATTCACATATGGATTATCATCTATTTTTTTCGCTGACGGGAGAGGGGACTCTTACTGATCGTTTTTCGAGTTATTGGATTAAGTTTGTGTCGAAATTTTCTGCCTTTCCCGATAATGTAGCCTTAGTCGAAACATGGATTATGTATACTAATTTTGAGTTTAATCGAAATTTATATTTAACAAACTTCGGCTTGCGAAAAAACTGTAAATACTTTCGACTTTTAGCCGATAAATATGTACAGGCCGTCTCTTCCTTCGTTATCCTGATTCCTTTATCTTTTAGATGTACAAATCTGTGTAAAAAGTTACAGTGGAAATCTCATGCTTTACTCTACTTATCTATGTCCCTGTAACAACTTACAGAGGTTGCTGCTTCTGTGTTTAAGTTTCTAAATATCTATATAGTTACTTTACCGGTTAGCGCTGATGCCGGCTTTTTGTTTGCTAATAAACAACAACAACATTATGAGTTTTCTGATGATAAGATAGCTGAAATTAATTCAAAAAAGATCGGCTGGTCTGAACAGGTCTATCATATCAAAATTTGATGAATTTTTCTAGAGAAGCGCCTCTCGTTTTTTTAGTAATTTGGAATCAACTCGACGAGTTACGTTGTACGGCGCCAAGATCTCGTCGGAATCCTTTCCATTTTTTGGACCCAATAGCTCTGTTGGAGGTTTTCAGGGTATATTACACTACATTCAGTTGTAGACATCAAGCACTCTACGTTCACTTTTCTTTCCCTTGATTTTATTTTTCTTAAGTGCTCGTATGATGTGTATAGAACTGTATTTCTCTTTATAGAAAAGAACAAAGTTTCTAATTTAATCTAGACTATTAATTATAGTTTTAAAGAGCGAAGTCTTCTTCATATATTCAAATAATAAAGAGTTATCCCCCAAAATAAGAATAGGAGAAATTCGAGATGAAGAAACGATAGTCATGTCCACTTTTGGCTAATTTTGCCCATATGTAATAGACAAAAATCGCATTCAAATGCAAGAGTGTTGAAAAAGAAAATCAAGCGATAGCGGTGTGGGACTAACAGGGGCACTGGAAATAAACAGCATAAATGTTTAACTGAGCAAGAAAATCATTGTTATAAAAATTTTGTCTTATGACAGTATCAGACGAGAGTATTTCTGATTATGTTTTAGTTCATAAATTGCATTTAGTAATAATATTTCTTAACATTGGGTTTACTGATGGATAGCAAAGAATGACAATAACATCAGCTTGTCTAAGCAAGCTGTTGTTTTGTCACTATAACAATATTTATGCCAAAGGTTTAATATAACAATACCTATACAAAAAAAAAGCAAAAAGAAAAACAATTTTCTATCAGTAGATTTACTTTTCCTTTAAATATACTACTATAAATACGATAGTAAAGCGATTTTAAAATCATATATTCAGGACGCCCGTCAGACGCCGTAAATTAAAACGATTTCAAAATGAACATTTATTTGGCTGTAATTGCTTTATGTGTGACTAAGACAAACAACAAAATTCTCTTCCAATGAATCTGGTTCGGACGCTCTTTTACCATAGTGAGAGTTAATATTTAATCTTACTCTGAGCTGTTGATGTATTCAGACGTTGAAATAATTGACTATTGAGTGCAGAAAATCGACTTGTTGCACTGGTGGGCCTTTGAAACCTAGAAGAAAAAAGAGTAAGATGAATGAGTTGTCTATGTAAGAATTATCCATTTATCTACCATTGTTAGTTAATTAATTCATTGGAAGAGAATTTTGTTGTTTGTCTCACGACTGTGCGATGATAATGTATTTAAATTGATATCTATTTTACCACTTAAATTACTCCACATGTTCTAAATAATGACAAAAAGAAGATTTATCAGATACGATGTATGTACAATTTTACACACAATTCATTCGTATTGTTATTATCTGCGAGCAATCCTAATTTGAAAAAAGTAGTGAAAAGAGCATTAGAATCATAGGATAGAACCAAAAGAAAATTAGACTTGTTTTCTTATAGCTTCTTGAGTTTGTTGAACAGTCAGGTAGGTATTATTCTTGAATACAGCCTGAAAATTAGTATTCAATATTTCGAAATCAATTGGAAAGACTAAGAAGTACAAATCAAATTATTACTGCACAGATTTGCATCGATTTAATCTCATCCAAGACAGATAAGTTCACTTTTTATTGGTAGCAAGATGTGAAAACTATAATCATTCGGTGTGACAATTCAAAGCGAAGTCGAAGGTAGTACATTCGTTTCACTACCTCAGTTTCTGATCAGTTAACGAAATGCTTTTACAAGAGCATCGATGAATGCCCCATGAATGCAACTCGATCGGATGAAATTTAAGGGGGATCGTAATGTGGTCTAATGAAGCCCGGTAGCAAAAAAAATAGTTTTCGAGATAAAACACATTTTGTACATAGGCCATGTTTTTTAGGGCATATGCCGCGATGCTTATAACTCCACAAAAATTCACCGAAATATTCTGGGAGACATCTCTTGTGAAGAAAACACTTTCTTTTATCAGATTATGTGTAAGAAAAATTTTGAATGTACAGAAAAGCAGAAAAAGGTTTATGAAACTAAAAAATTGAGTTTTTTTAGACTTTGGAGAAAATACTTAAAAAATTCATAACTTTTTGAAGAAAGGTCGTGGAGTGCTGGTAGTGGTCTCATTTTGTAGTCAACACTTTCTTCTATATTAGGCTATGCTCAGCTCAAAATTCGAAATTTTTTCAAAAAAGAGGCAGATACTTTTAAGTGAACAAGATTGGTATGCTGTCTTATAAATACAACTCACTTATAAAAAAACAGTGTCATATACACTCGATTTTTGACTAGATTATGTTGATCGATTCTACTGTAGCTGAAATTTATTTAGTATTTCAAAAGAAGATGTTATTCTTCAGCAGTACACTTGAGAAATGTCTAAAATAGTTTAACATGCGAGTTTAACATTAGTTTGATATTCCCCATCCCAATTTCCAGCTGGATAATAATTTGCAACACAATATGCTTTTGATTTATCTGATGTATAAGCACAGCCAGCACCGATTTCTTCCGAATCTTTCCAGACGACCTGTGTAAAATGTCCAGTTGAGTCAGAAAAACCAGGTGTCGTATAATCCTTAATTTCATTGTACCAGGAATCTGTTACTTGTGTACCTGAAAAGTTAAACATTCAACTTATAACAAAAACAAATCAAACATTTCGAGGTTTTTCCAAGAGTAATTAATCTACTCTTGACAAGAATAAAACTGCGTAGCCGCATAACCGGTTAACTCAACCCTAAATTCACTATCTATGGTTGGGAGGATTATGCGCATAATTCTTATACGAGGATAATGAGTTACGTTTTCTAGTGCTATCAAGAACGTCTAGACAAATTATTCGAGTTTACAAAATCGTATTTGAAGAGTGCAGAACTTTGTCGAAATCTCCTTCTGGTGTACAGAGACACTCTCCTTTTGAAATATCTGTTCGTCGACTCGTTCGAAGTAAAAAATAAAACAACTCTAGTCTATAACACTTTCAAAAATTATGTTAAATTCTGACATCACAGATGCCTCACAAACAGTAAGAAATTACAAAGAATTCATGTGAAAAGCAAAATACTGTCCGTTTCTCATCACAGTGCTTACAATACACTGGGGAAAAGTTGTTAGATTGGATAAATCTGAAAAGGAGAATAATTTCATGAAATGAACCTTTTTTTTCTAATTCCTTTTAGCATGAAATTACAAAACTCAGTAAAGCTAAATGTCTTATTTTATTCGCAAAGAATGAATAATCAAACATATTCTATAAGTTGGAAAATTGTTTTATAAGAGTATAGTATTTATATCAAGATACTTACCATCTACAGCTGTTCCTGAACCTCCCATCATCCATAAATTTTCTCCTAAAGGTTGATCCTTGTAGGTAGGATTATCACTATGTTCAAATGTATCTGTATCAGCTAAGTGTTGAGCATAAGCTTGTGCTATTTTATTTATGTCATCATTGAGTTTTAAATTAGGTGCACAATGTTGTTGACGATATTCATTATGTTTATTCAATATTTGTTGACGTAGTGTTTGAGCATTATCAGCCAGTACTAGAGTGACAAAGAGTTTTAAAAATATTGGAATACTAGTTAAAAAAAGTTGTACGAACCATTAAAAAAACATAAAGCAATTACGGCCAAATAAATGTTCATTTTGAAATCGTTTTAATTTACGGCGTCTGACGGGCGTCCTGAATATATGATTTTAAAATCGCTTTACTATCGTATTTATAGTAGTATATTTAAAGGAAAAGTAAATCTACTGATAGAAAATTGTTTTTTTTTTTGCATTTTTTTTTTGTATAGGTATTGTTATATTAAACCTTTGGCATAAATATTGTTATAGTGACAAAACAACAGCTTGCTTAGACAAGCTGATGTTATTGTCATTCTTTGTTATCCATCAATAACCCTAATATTAAGAAATATTATTAATAACAGAATTTATGAACTGAAACGTATATGAAAATAAAAAACGAGCAATTAGTTTTGATAATGATTCTTGTATGTAGTCAGCACCAGATTCGTTCTACGATTTTTTTTGTGCAAACGAAGATCAATTGGTCGAAGCAGAGTTTGATGAGCTCTACAAAATGGTATATATTATTTTGAACTATATAATTCATCTTGAAATAAAACGAACTAACGCTCAGAAAAACTTAAAAATACATCAGTTATCACACAAAAAACTAACTTTTTCAGTAAAAGGTACTTTAACTTGATCCAAAGCTTAAAAGCACATTGTCAGATAGAAATCATAAAGATGCATCCAATTGAGTCTTTTGTACACGTTTATCTCGGCGCAAGCATCGGCGTTGTTCGGGGACTGGTTAAATTTGTGGCACTCAACAAGAACAATATAAGCTGTGCCTAATTAATAAGCGTAAGAGGGAGAAAAAATATACATTAGACTGGAAATCACAAGCCCAAAAATGAGCACATCAAAACTAACTAGCTTAAGCCCCCCATGCCCACAGTGTGCATTTTTCCATAGGTCAGGCGAACATTTGTTATAGAAGCAGTCTGAAAGTCTATAAACACTTATTTTATAGGTTATCAGATATGGTCTTTCCAATGGTGTGTTTTACAAAGTTTAGACATCGCTTTGAGTCGAATCGGGCTTTCGGAAACTTTTGGAACTTTATTTTATTGAAGTCATGTTTTGGAAACACTGTTCAGTTGGAAAAACGCTTTTTCCGACGTTGCAATTCACATTCAATGAAATTTCTTTTTGATCTTGTAGCTGAACCTGCGCTGAATTCGAATACGAACGTTTTAGATCTTCAATTTCGCTTTATCGTGTATAAAAGTTCTCGTGTAATTCTTATTTCACGTCTATTTTACTTTAATGTTTTTTCCGAAAGTTCGTCACTTGAAACCAAAAGATAGCCCATATATCGAAGTATATTGGGCACTATTCGAATTTTGAAAAACCTTACCTGCGATTTTTTGCCAAATGTCCGCCTAGATGAGCACTGTGCTCCCCTTTTTTTAATATACTTCACGCTAGATAGATCGGGTTCGTTTTATTTTAAACTAGACACCTGACTACATGGACTGACCGCCGCCGATTATTCAGTTAAGCCTTTGTTCGTTTTGTAGACAATCAACAACCTCCAAAATCCGAGAAACCCTTCCTGATTTTCTAGAAATCATCAGTTTGATAAAAAAACTAATTACATGAGCTGACCTACGCCGATTTTTTAATTCGATCTTAGTTTTTTATCAAGCTGATGATTTCTAGGAAATCAGGAAGCGTTTCTCGGATTTTGGAGGTTGTTGATTGTCTACAAAACGAACAAAGGCTTAACTGAATAATCGGCGGCGGTCATTTCACGTAGTTAGATGTCTAGTTTAAAAGAAAACGAACCCGATCTATCTAGCTTGAAGTATACTAAAAAATTTTGGGAAATACTTCAGGTGTAACTTCCATGTAGAGAAAACGCTGTATCATACGATGTATATAATGCTCAGTTTTAGGACTTGGAGGAAAATGCCTGTAACTTTTTGACGCAAGGTCATACAGAGTTGTGCGACGTCTTATTTTTTTATCAGAAACGTTTGCTCTACAATCTATGCATTCAGAAAAAACTTAATTGTATGAGTATCGAGGAAAAAACTATTGTTTGAAGATCCGATTTTTCGGCATTCCTAGAAAACTTGCTCGAAAGCGGCGAAGAATCACTTCTGTAATCGTTGGTTCTTGATCTCAGTTTAGGATTTATAGAATGAGCGGTCTAATACGACCTGCCATTCACCTCCGTATCGTGGAAAACGAGAAGAATTTTCCCCCAAAACTTCATCAGACTCATTTTATCCATGAACACGTTTTTACTCATTTATATGCATTGCGTGAGAAGTTCCAGTAAAAGTCTGAAGGGCTAGAAAGATAAACTTTAGTTGGAAACGCTGTTACATTCTAAAAATATAGAAACATTACTTTTCTTTCTATCGCCTAGTCATTTGTAAAAACAATAATATTTTTACACTTTATATGTTTATGCAGATACAACAAGGAAGCTACATACAAGACAATTCTAAATGTTGTATTATAGCTATATCGACCTAAGCCAACGGAATAGTCTTATATTTAATATCAAATCGTTGCATATAATCACTTAAAAATGCTAATAAGTGCTCATGGACGTATTTTTTCGTTGGAAACGAGTCTTCTCCCTCACTCATCCTTCGTATCAGGAATGATATCTTGACGTCTGAACCGAACGGCAGCGTAAGCTGGTTGATGTCTACTTAACTGAACATTTACACTGGAAGTGCCACATAAAACAGACTGCATGATCATGTAAAAAGATGCTACACGCAATGAAGCGAACTTTTTCCCCTTCTATTCAAAACTTGTGTTTTACCAAATATGGACAACAGCTGTTCTGTCTGTGACAATATTTATCCCATGCAATTTGAGCTATTAGAAGTAATCAAAAGTTTTCTCGCTAAAAAACTTCGATCAGAACTAAACCAGTACAATCATCTTTTTTTCGATGAATCATCAGCGATTAGAACAGTCTTTTACTTACTTGAGAATCAGTCAGTCCGTCGTCATGCTTTCTGGTCCGATCGAACAAGATGTATTGCCCTAACAAGCAATCTGGTCCGATCGGACAAGGAGTATCTCACCCGTTTTGACAAGATTTATACACTTTTCTTTTAACCTATTAGCGCATAAATCAAAACTATAGCGCATGTAGATGCGTATTCCACGTAATAGAGCGGTAAATCAGGATTACTTCGCTTGATCAGGCAAACTTGCCCGTCCAAGATTGCAACATCAAACAAAAACAGAACAAAAGATTGCCTGGTCGGTCAAGATATCTTATCCAAACGGACAATATTAATCGAGCCTGAACGAGCAGTATTATCAAATCGGGCAAGATAAATTGCGCAAAATTGAGCTACATTTGTTATTCGTCTCTGTCATAAAAGAGAAAGAAGGCTGAACACTTAACTTTGGTATATGGTGAATAATCAGTGCACGAGGGGTAGAATGAACAGTCCCCGCTCATTAGACGACTGATGATTCTCGAGATCAAATCTTGCCCCAGAAATTTTATTATCTGTTCTAAATGTTATCTTGTGTTCAAGTGTGTGTGTGTGTGAGAAATTTCAATCATTTTTTCATTCTAAACTAAGACATTTGTTAAATTAATCAGACTTTGTTTCGTTAATATTGTTTTTTCGAATGGAATATACACTAACTTTATCAGATAAAAATTTATCATAGCATTTCTAACCTTTTTTCCGCATTTTGAACGAATCTTGGCGGTCAACATGTTAAATTTTCCCGAACATCTCGAAAATACGACCAAAAACAGTTTTTCTTCTGGAACTTTTTTCTAATTGAACTTTTTATGCTCATTCATATATATTCTGAAAGAGCGTTGAGAAATGAACAAAACCAGGTAAATGCGAAATCTAGAACATGTTCCTAGTTCGAGTTTTAGAGTCAGTCACTTTTTCAAAGACCTATTTTGGGCCGATATAAAGATGTAATTCATTTTCATACCAATATTGTGTCACGCAGCTTGTGTTTATATTCAAAAGATGCGTCTTTGAACACTGATTCCAGCCATATATAAACATCGGCAAAACTCGCCTGGCTGGGAGGGAAAAGATTAAAATGAAGTTTTTACCATCACTGAAAACTAGCATTTTTTGACCATTTTTTCGATCGGATTTTTTTCTATTATGACTTTAACGCAGTTTTTTCTGCCAGATTTTGAAAGAGCAATAAGAAATTAAATGGAAGGGTGAAATTCGGGCCACTATCATGAATTTCACGGTTTGGAGAACAGAGGCGCTCTTTCACAGTTCTTTACTGTTTTGATCATTTCATTAAAAATAAGGAAAGAAACGTAGAAAAACTTGAAACAAAACATGAAATCAGTCCTTTGAGTCCTCCTCCTCACTGTTATCGTCGCTAGGTATATCGAAAGCCTTTCATCGTCGCTTTGTTCCATATCTGAATAAACATTGCTGTCGTTGACAATATCCATAAATCAATCATTTGACTGTGGCTTCGAAGACAAATCAGTCTCTGTTTGGTTGACGCCCATATGCCATAACAGAGCAGTAACATGAGAACAACAACCGACATTTCGGCTATCCGTAACACAGAAATAATACCAACTCGTTATAGGTTGCTCTTCCTTACTATCAAATTGAACTGTCGTTTTATGTGTTTCACTTCTTGCAAAACGTGACTTAACGACTGCACGAACCAAATCATCTGCGTGATTGCAGACTTGAATAGTGAATTGGTATTCGTCTTCGTCAAAGATGGATGGCTTCACGTGATTTTCGACGTAATCTTTCGCATTTTTTCTCTGATAAACACCTAAAAACAAGAGCTTGACCTTAGACGTGAAAGCGGTGAAAAACCAAGTTGTTTTCAGTGAAAAAAATCTTAAATATATGATTTCATTTAGCTTTTTTGATACTTGTCACTAGACTGCATCTCGAACAAACTCGGAAGTTTTATTTCTGCGTCTACTAGTAGTACGATAAAAGGACTGAGCTCTGTGTTTTCTGGTACTTTAATATAAACTCACCGATTGTTAGAGCACGTAAATCGTCTTCTGTTATCTGAGGAAATGAGGCATATTTAGCATCACATGTAGACCATTTAGAATGGCTCTTAGACGCTTCCATTTCTTCTAATCGTTTTTGCAATTCATTGTCTGACGAGGGAACCTTTCGAGGTGATTAGAAGCTTTTTGATCGACATCTAGTGGGTTATAGATTATCAACCATGCTGATTCCGAATATGATCATGGGACTGGCCCATAGCTCTTCGAAGATCCAGTCTTCTGGAAAACCAGTTTTTCAGAAATCCCAAAAAATAACCCACGCCTTTCTTAATAATGCAGGATTGTAACGCGCAAATTTCTGATTAAAATGATACATCCTCC